AGAGTTGTGCAGCTCTGTTTATTGACCTTTCCAAAGCGTTTGACACCGTCGATCATCGCATCTTAAAGCAGAGGCTGGTCAGTGTTGGCATATCCAGCCATGCAGTGGGGTGGCTTGTGAACTACCTCTCTGAAAGGTCCCAATGTGTTCACTTTGATGGGCTGTCTTCTGAGTGCTTAAACATTACTAATGGTGTTCCTCAAGGTTCTGTTTTAGGTCCACTTTTATTCTCCATATATATATCAACAGTTTAGGTGAAAATGTGAATGAAGCTACTTTACATTTTTATGCGGACGATACCGTGATGTACTGTGCAGGTCCCTCCATTAAGGAGGCTGGTGTTAAATTACAGGCTGTTTTTAACATTATTCAGACTCAGCTCTCTGAACTAAAGCTTCTTTTAAATGTTGATAAAACCAAGGTAATGCTCTTTTCTAAAGCTAAAAAGACTGCATACACTGCTTTAGATATTGTTACTATGCAAGGACAAGTACTCAAAGTGGTTACCTGTTATAAATACCTAGGTATCTGGCTTGATGATTGTCTTACTTTTAAACTTCATGTCAATAATCTGCTTAAAAAGCTGAGGGTTAGACTAGGCTTCTTTTTCAGGAACAAGTCCTGTTTCTCACTTGAGGCCAGGAAAAGGCTCTGTGACCTTTTGACCTGTGCTGGACTATGGTGATTTGATCTATATGAATGCACCTGCCCATTGCCTGGAAAAGTTAGATGCCGCCTATCACAGCGCACTGAGATTTGTCACTAACTATAAAACACTTACTCATCACTGTAACCTGTATGCCAGGGCAGGTCTACCTTCACTAACTGTACGAAGGCTCAGTCATTGGTACATGTTCATCTATAAAGCCATGTTGGGTAAACTATCTTTTTATATCTGCTCTCTGATCTCTCAACGAATTGAAAGTACTTATTGCCTAAGATCTCATGATGTTGTTTTATTAAATGTGCCAAGTGCTAGGACTGTCTTAGGGAAGAAAGCTTTTAGTTGTGCAGCTCCACTAACTTGGAACAGTCTGCAAACATGTTTCAAACTGAGCACTCTGGTTCCCCTGCATCATTTTAAAACTCGGCTGGGTGACATGCTGTTTGAAGCTCATGGTACCTGTCACTGTGAATACAGTTTGTAAACTGTACCCTGTACATTATGTTGTATGTCATCCTTATTGTTGTTCTGTTGTTTCTATGTTACATGTGTAACTAATGTCCTGCAGGTCAGCCTTGAAAAAGAGATCTTTTGATCTCAAGGGGTTTTCACCTGGTTAAATAAAGGCTACAAACAAACAAACAAACTATCTGACCCAGTCAGGGGACTCATCTTTGGGAGGCTGTGGCTCAGTGGATAGTGTGCTGGACTTGGAATCAGGGGATAGCAAGTTCAAACCCCACTGCAGTCAGTATGTCGTTGTGTCCCTGAGACACTTCACCCCAAATTGCTCCTGTGGGGATTGTCCACAGTATTGAGTATGGAAGTCGCTTTGGATAAAAGCGTCTAACAAGAAACATGTAATGTGATGATCAGGCAGTTAACTGCAGATAATGTAATTAAATGGAAAAACAACAGCGTGGCTAGATGATCAGAAATAAAACTTTAGAAAATAATCACAACATATGAATGCTTCAAATCAGTGTTTCCGCCAGACCAGGGCTTAGAGGGCGTCCACTCCGAGAGCGGGGGGTTGTGTGACGTCACGTCGTGTCACGTGACTTGAATTTTGAATTGAGCCGTCCCTTATAGATACTATCTCTTTACGTATTAGTGATGAGAATTGCGTTTATACCGTTTCTGTCACTTGTAACTGATACTATCAGCTCTCTGGGGTTTTCTATTTTGTTGTGTTTTAAATGTTTTTACATCGTGTGTGAGAGAGTTTTTCAGTCTGTGGCTACACGTATGGTTTCATTGTCTTGTGCTTTTACATTTGCTTTATCTAAATGTATTCATGCTGCTTTTTATATATGTATTGATTTGGTCAACTCTGTTGTTTTGAAATGTGCTATATAAATAAAGTTGGATTGGATTGAACGGTGTTTCTCCCGTTTGTCCCGGACGTTGAAATCTTCCCTGACAGAAACGCTGTAGTACCACCACGTAGTCACACCCCCGCTCCCCTCAGTACTCACTGTGCGTGGAAGTCCACCAGCACCGGTAGCTCGCTCTTGATGACCCGGACGTCGAAGTCGTCGTGGTCCTGGACGTTGAAGGAGGCGGCCCGGCGGAGGGAGGCGAGGGCGAGGGAGCGAGGGAGGGAGCGGGAGCGAGAGAGGACGGGGACTCTGGAAGACTGCAGGGAGGTAGAGAAGGAAGAGGAGACTGAAGAGGAGACCGGGAGGCAGCGGAGATCTTTGGAAGAGAGCGTCCAAAACCTACGCACCAGCAACCTGTGAGCCATCTGAGGGGAAGAGAGACAACAAGAGAAGAAGAACAATGGAGATTTATTAAAGTATGCACACTTTATAAATCATAAAAAACAAATAGCAGATTGACACTTGTTGAGAGAAAAGCAGCTCTGGTTGCATAACATGGTGTGCCTGCCTGCCTGTCTGTCTGTCTGTCTGTCTGTGTGTGTCTGTCTGTGTGTGTCTGTCTGTGTGTGTCTGTCTGTGTGTCTGTCTGTCTGCGTGTGTGTTAGGGCTGCACGATATTTTTTAATAAAATCGCACGTCCCTGCGATGTGAATATCGCGCATGCGCACATATCGCGGTTATCGCCATGACACGATATATCGTTCAGCCCTAGTGTGTGTGTCTGTCTGCCTGTGTGAAAATGTGAAATCTGAAATGTGTCAAGTTGTTCTGTGTGTGTGTGTGTGTGTGTGTGTGTGTGTGTGTGTGTGTGTGTGTGTGTGTGTGTGTGTGTGTGTGTGTGTGTGTGTACCTGCAGCAGGTCTCTGGGGAAGTCCTTCCCCTCGT